GGGGGGGTAATTATTTTCTCCAGAAAAATAAAGTAACTTTAGCTGCAATTTTGGCAGGGACCCACAAGAACAAAGTTAGGGGTCCCTTACTTGCTGCTTGAAGGGTTTAGACTTAGATGTGGTGTTGGGTCCTGGAACTCCCTGTCTGGTTTTGCCTGCAGCTGCCTGAAGCTCTGTATCTTGTCTGCTGTGGGCAGGCTTCTAGAGCTAGGGAACAACAGGCACATTGGGCCAGTTTTCTCTCAGCTGTCCCTTGGCTTGTGCTTGTTGGTTCCCCTTCACACTCGGATGACCTAGGCCTGGAATGAGAACTAATTAGACATTTCTTGGCAGCCCATACCTGCCTGTCCTATTGGCCTCTTGCCTCAGCCCCTCGGGTTCTAACTCTAGAGACAAGTGGGAGTGTCGTATATTATTGGATGTCTGGTCAGTTTGGGTCAGAGCAGAGGTATGAACCTTCCCATTGATGGCCTGGTGCCATTGGACAGGCACCAAAGTGACCCCATTGTCCTCTTCTAGGGAACCCTCCCTCTGCAGTAGAGAGTGTAAGAGTAGAAAAGCATGGGCGGGGATCAGCTGACAACTATCACTCATCATAACTGTGTGCTGTAAACCTTAGTTTGTTGCCTGTAAAAGGAGAGCCATGAAACAAATTGGCAGGGTCATTGTGGACATGAATGTGTGTGGCTGTAGCCTGTGTGACACCTGTCATCTACTTTTCAGGTTTAAGTTTCTTTAAACCATCTTACATGACTCTTTGTTCTTCCCTAAGTCTTCTGTGTCTCTATAGTTATTGGCTCAAGCAAAAATAGTGCTAAGAACTGGAGATGAATTTATTTGACAAATATTCATATGCAAAGAAATAAAACACTAAACCTAATTACATTCTGTATGTAGTCCCAAAGTAGAGAGAGGATATTTAAAGAATGAAGAAATTAATAGTCTAGGAAAATTAAAAACTGTGATTTATATCTGATAGAATATTCAGTAATAATCTGTGGGAATTATTTAATGCTTGTTAATATGTTACCAGAGTTCCTGGGTGTGCTTTATTCAATGTCCTCAAAAAGGCTTGAAAAGAAAAATAAGCCAAATGATGTGACTATTTTCTAATTCCATGGTGGACCAGGACCAAAGGTCCCCAGGCCTCTGGCTCCCTGAAGCCTCTCTCAGATGTCATGGAGTGAGCAACTTTCAAACAGCACTGTGTCTCCAAGGAGCCTGTCATAATTTCCAGACATTATCTCATTTGCTCTCACTTTGTGACATTAAAATGTCACAAGGCAGGTGGCCCCAGATTTGTAGATGAAGGATAAGCAGGAAGTGCTGTGGCAGATCCACAGGTACTGCCTTAGGCTGCTTAACTAAAACCAGCTGTTTGTAGGGCCAGTCTAATGCCAATCTCCAATTTGGCCATTGCATTTCCATTGCAAAAAGAAAACAATATTTACAATTTATTTATTGAAAAATAAAACTGGTAAACATAATTTTGTAGAAGTCCCAGAACATTGGACCAAAGGGGAAAAAAAGAGGACAGAGATAGAGATAGAGAGAGACTATGTGTCATGTTTATTGGCAAGAATAAGAAGTTTTCACTGATAGAAAAAAAGTCACAGCAATGGCCTGGTGCTCCATGATCTTGAACTATGTCCACTTTAAGCATCTTTCCATAAATGTGTCTCTCACAAAATGGTTTTAAAGGTAGGTAAAAGGAAGACACCAAATTATTTAATTAATGAGTGAATTCTGTTTATGTTTACTTTCATGTTTTGGTTTGCATCCTAAAGGTATGTTTAAATAGGCATGTTTTGAGGTTCTCTGTCCTGTATCCTTTGCCTAGACATTAATTGTATTTCTCTAAATACAAAATTCCCTCTCTAGGAAAATTACTTTCTACTAAATGGAGACAGTGGCCCCATACAAGTGCTATTTTAAACCAGAACCCCATCTCTTTCCCTGCTTTTAGTATCCTGAAAAGAAATTACTACACTTAGGACTAACAGGATAGCTAAGTGGGTAAATGTGTTTGTTGCCAAGTATAGCAATCTGAGTTCAGTCCCCAGGACCCACATGGTGGAAGGAGAGAACCAATTCTCACAAGTTATCCTCTGACCTTCACATGTGCACTCTGGTGCATGCATGTGCACATGTGCACAATCATGGTGCACACATGCATGCACATGCACACTTGAGGTGCACACACTCCTGCACACACATGCAAGGTGCACACACATGCCTGCACATGAGCACACACTGACAAAGTCCCAACCATATCTGACGTGCTTTCTCACTTGAGAAGAATTGTAATTAATAACATCCCTTAGCAGTAGATAGTAAAATTGACATCTTTAGTGAAGGATACTTATAGATGGTCATATATCCCTTGCTGGAAAATTTTTGAAGTATCTAATTAGTTCATTCTCCCCTAATTCTCTTTGTGCCTCTGAGGAATTCATATAATGTGAAAGATTTTTAATGACTTGAGCCTACAAAGTCCTCTAAGTCATAAAAGCAATGTGAAGATTTCCTTAAAGACAGAGAACGCCTCTACCAGCTGGATATGTGACTTTTTCACACTCTTCCTCATTTCTTGTTTCTTTCTGGAAAACAGTGCTTTCATTGGAAAGAGTTGATCCACAGTGTGGTCTTAGAGGTTCCACTGCCTCCTAGAGTGAGAAGGTCACTCTTCCAATGTATGTAAATGTAACCCTGCTATATCTAATTGTGTGCTCCTGTTGGATATTTGCTACTTGACACCCTGGCTCCCATAGTTATCTTCTTCCCTGCAATATAAGATTGATTTTCCTCACGCCTATGATGAAATTCAGAGTTTGCTTCAGCCTTCTGATAAAATGTTCACCAGCTCACTTCCTAATCTTTCAGATATTGATGAGTGTCTAACACCAAGCACTTGTCCTGATGAACAGTGTGTGAACTCCCCAGGCTCTTATCAATGCATCCCCTGCACAGAAGGCTTCCGAGGCTGGAATGGACAATGCCTTGGTAGGTACCACCACACCCCCATAGGGGCTTCTGTTCCTTTGAAAATAATGATGAAGTATAAGAAATTCATGTGATTCTCAGAAAATTCTTGAGTAATTTTTAATTGTGGAGAATGCAAGGAAATGAGTTGGCACAGAGGATACAAAGTTCTAAAAAGTACAAATAATTCTGATTGACCCAAACTATACCCACTAAGTTTTTAAATAAAATTAAACAAAATGATAAGCATTACAGGAAATAAAGACAGAGAAAATGGCTTTAAAAAAAGGGAGAAGTATATGTTCATAATCCCAGCTACTTGGGTGTCTGAAGCAGAGGGATTGCAGGTTACAGTTTGGCCTGGGGTACATAGCACAATTCTCTCTCAGAATGAAAATAACTGGAGATGTAGCTCAGGGATAAAGCTCTTGCCTAGCTTGTGTAAGTTCCCATGTTCAATCCCCAGTAATGGACTAAAAGAAAGGAATTACAGCGAGATGGAGTGGGAGATTGGGCATGGCAAGAAGCTGGCATGCCCACACAGAGTTGCTGAGGAAGAGAAAGTATTCTGCTTGCTGGGGTTCTCCTTTGTGCATCTGTCTGCCGGTGGCTGTTTTGTTTTCTATTGAGCTCTTGGTTCTTCCAATGGATGCAAACATAATCTTGCTGTATCTTACTGTATAGCAGGAGAGATTGTTTCAATTGTTAAGGGCACAGATTACTCTTGTAGATGATATTGGTTTAGTTCCCAGAATACACTGGGTGTCTCACAACTCCCCATGACTCCAGTTGACTCCAGTTCCAGAGGCTCTGTTACCATCCTCTGGCCTCGGGAGCACTGCATACATCTGGTGCACACTTGAGCATGGAAGAAAACACACATGGAATTAAAATAACTTTCTTTTAGAAGTTGATGTCTTTCCACTTCATGTTAGAAGTTCAGTGTTTCATTCATTCCTACTTTCATTTTGTTCAGGTCATATAGTAACTACACAGAGGGGGGTAAGGGAGAAAGGGAGAGAGAGAATTGTTTCACATCCTAAAATCATCAAGAAGCAAAACCTATCTATACCTTCTCCCCTCATGGCCCTTACTTCTCTGATAGAAAAGAATGTCTCATATACAAACACCTTCCATGTAGGATAGATCAGTAGAGAGCATATTAGGAAGAAAATCTGAAATAATATAAATCATAAAATGTGTTGCCCTCAAACTCTCCTTAGTGATCATTTAGATATGGGAGGAAGGGAGACTATTTCTGGCCAAACAATATGTGTGAAAGGGAATTATAGAAAAATTATGAAGCTGGTTGTCCAACAGGCCAATGTAGTTGATCCCAGAGAATACAGAAAACATGCTGTAAAATTTGAGGACAGAACAGGCAAGGGCTCTTCTACCCAGTTATGAATATTGATTTTTATTCTGCTTACTCTGGGAAGACATTTAGGTGCTTTAGAAGGATGAAGATAAGTTGGCAGCAGGGGCACTCCCAGTGATGGAGCTTTGGTCTCATCACCAGCCTGTCAGGACCTGTGCAGCCAGTGTTGCTGGTACACATGACCCTGTCCTAAATCCCTATCCCATTGTCATCTACATTCCCATCTCCATCCGCATCCCCATCTGCATTCCCATCCACAACCCATCCCCATTTGCATTCATATCTCCATCTGCATCCCTATCTGAATCTGCATTATCATTTCCATCATCACCATCTGCATCCCCATCTCTATCTGCAGTCCCAATTGTCCATTGTTTATTGATAAACAGATTGTCTGTGTCATTGACACTACTCAGAAGGTGCTTTTTGTTTTAATTTTCCATTTGGCATATGATTCAGGTGTGTGTGTGTGTGTGTTCTCATTTTCACATACTAGTATATGAACCAGAAGTAGTTCTTTAATCAACTCAGCCTTAACTAACTGTAGTTCATAATGGTGTGAACACATCCTGACTCATGGATTCACTAATGTTATGTATCTAAATATTGGTGAGTGATCAAATGATGGTTCTTTAGTATAAATAGCAGTGAGTTCTTCATGAATTTGTACATCATCCTTGTGCAGGGGCCAAGCTAATCTTTGTATTGTTCCTATTTTAGTATATATGCTGCCGAAGTGAGCACAACACTGAGTTCTTGTAAATCATTTGTTACTCAACTACACCAAAGTCACACTCAAGTTCCATATGTTTGCACTGCTAAGGTCTTACATTTCTGTGTTAAGAGTAGGCAGTAGACCTTTTCTGTCTGCTTTGTGTAGAATGTCAGGCTCTATGACATGTAGATAAAGACTCCCTTCCAAAGTAGAATTGCCATTCCATTATTTTTCATATATTGAACTTGCTATTTGTTTCAATTTTCCCATGAGGGACTTTTTTTTTATATAGATTATACTGAAACCAATTTTCTAATTTAAGTTTTTATTGGCAACAGAGTGTTGAAAATCAGTGGGCTATAAAGCATATACTACATACCCACACATATAGTTTATTTAAAGTCCTATTAGGGGTACTTTGGGCCAATCAGAATTATTTGTTCCTTTTAGAACTTCATGTCATCCATACCAACTCATTACACATGCATGCATGCATGTGCTCCCACACACACATACACATACATGGAGGGAGGGAATAAGGGAAAGAGAGAGAGCAATCTGGGTAGAATTATAAACATTTCTGATAATGCTAATAAATGCTGATCTTTACTGTCTTTGTTTTTCAGTTCTATCCACTATTCTTGGGTAGTCTAAATACTTTTTACAAAGTGCAGTATTAGCCAAGCATGACACATGCCTTAAGCCCAGCTCCTGTGAGGCCAAGTCAGGAGGAATATGAATATGAGGAGAGCCTGAGACACATCAAGTTCCAGGTCAGCTTGAACTGTAGAGTGAGACTGAATCCAAACAATCCCAAGCCCCCAAAGAAGCTGCAGTGTATCTTTGAGTTGAGCAAAGTGTACCACGCCATGGGGTATGTTTGTTTGGTTGTTTAGTGAGTATGTCTAGTGCCTTCTGGGCCTCGGGTGTTCTTCAGAACAGCAGAGACTGAGAGGGAATGGCATGAAGTCTCTCTTCTCACTGCACTTGTACTCTAGTGTTCAGCTTCACAAGTTAGCAAGTGGATGGCACAGAGTCCACCGCAGTGAGTTTCATGAAGAAAGAGAAATGAGCCTGAAGGAGAAAGGGATGTAGCTAGGGAGCATTAGAGACTGTGATATTCAGAGTGCTCAGACATGTTATAATAAGATAACCATGCAGTAGTGGTCTTCCATCTTGGTGGACAAACACCTTTATTGACTCAGGTCTTCTTTACTTGCTGAACAAACTCCTGAGCTATCTTTCCAGCTTGATATATTTTTTTTGTTGTTGTTGTTGTTTTAATATCCTTTGAGTTCAGATAGGTTAGGATATTTTCACAATCTGCTTTTTCCCTTCCATTTTAATTAAATTTTTTTATGTAAGAACATTAAAAACCTTTAATGTCCTGTAGTCACTTTTTTTTGGAGGAAAATCCTAGATTTGGAACGCATTAGCTCTCATCTCAAGAGAAGACAGTACCTGACCACATGGCTGTGATGTTTCAGTACCTTAAAGGTCTCTGTCTCATCTCATGGCATTTGTTTTTTACATTAATGTATTCAAACAAATGAAATGTTTTATATAATATTACACTTTGTCTTTTTTCAAAATTGTCTATACACATGCCAATTAAACTGGTTTTCGTTTGTTTGTTTGTTTGTTTGTTTGTTTTCTGTTAAAAGACTTCCTTAAGTATTGGCTGTTTAGGGTTGGAAAGATTGCTCATGATTAGCTCAGTTGCTGCTTTGCAGAATACTTAGGTTTAGTTCCCAGGGCTCACATATGTGCTCACAACCATCAGTAACTGCAGTTCCTGGGAATCCAGTACCCACTTCTGACCCTTAAGGACACCACACATACATAATATACTTACATGTCAGAAAACCATTCATATACACAAAATAAAATAAAAATAAATCTTTAAAAAGAATTCCCTTTAAAAATTAAAAAAAGAAAAAGAATGGCTATTTCATACAAGGAAATGAGGTACATGAAAATGGCGTAAAGGAACTTCTTATTTTGCTTGCTAAATAAATTTTAAAAATGAAATCTATTTCTGTCCTAATATTCTTGAGCATTTGTTTTGTAATTTAGGAGTTGTTTGTAATATGAGTAAATGCTGAACTTGCTGAGGTCATTTGTGACCTACCTGTGTTCATGCAGTGTAATCTGATCCTACCTGTCAAAGCAGCTTCTTGGTTTATGAATCAGAACAGAAGTTGTGTCAAAACAGGTAAAATGTTAGGAGGTATTGTCTGGGGTGGGTGCTGTCTTTTTTCTGCTGTTTGACTCAGGGTGCACAGTTCTCCATTCTTTGTCATTTATTATCCACTTCAGACATCATTAGGGACCATTCTCTACCTAGCACGTCATTCCTTGAGTCTTTTGTCAGCTTTTCTTGGCTTCAATGGCTATTTCATCACTCTAGGTTATAGCCAGTTCCAGCTGGCTGTTTGAACCAGGGCCTGTTGTAAGGGAAGGCAACCTGGCGGGTCCTCAGTCATGGGCTTCACTTACAATAGCCTGATGAGAGCCATGCCCTATGGAATACCTGGGCAGTTAGTTGTTTATAGGTACATTCAGTATCTCTGAAATTAGGTGTGAGTTAGGCCATGTGACCTCCTTGAAGTTTAGTTTCATTATCTGTAATATAATAAAGAAGGGTTAAAACATCTTTGAATGACGTATTACCAGAATTAAATAAGCAATATGAAGCACATTGTCTGATATATGATTGGGTCCAACAAATATAACTTCCCAGCCATATGGCCTATTTATTACCTGAAATACAAACACAGCAGTACTATGTTAAATAAACTATGTTACATGTTCTATGTAACTATGCACTCTTTGGCTTTCTTTAACCCCATTGCATATAATTTTTTACTCTCCCTCTGCTATAGGAACTTTCTAATATGAACTAATTTTGTGGTTTTGCTTTAACTTTTTAACATTTTTATATTGGTGGGATATACTTCTTAGGGTTAGGGTATGTCTCTGTGGGATCATTAAAGATTCCTAATAACCATTAGACTTTATGATGGATTTAGCTCTATATTGGTGCTGCTGTTTCCTGTTTCTGCCCGTTATTCTGTTTGCTCACCCTCACAACTCAGAATGTTTGTACAAACTGAGTGTGTGCAGCTGACCCTTCTTAGGTTCACTTTACTGTCTTGCTTTGTAGTTGAGTCTGTGACAGACCATGTGACTTGGGAATGTTTGGAGTTTTATTATAGTATTGCTTCTTTGTTACTCTCTTTGGGGTAACAGCCTGGCTTCAAGGAAAGCCTTTTCAGGGTGGTGGGCCTGGGCACTTGAATAACCTAGTGTCTTGATCAGGCTCAGAGCCCTGGTAGGATAAACATGGAGAACACATTGTTTACATCACATTTTCAGAATTTAGATCTCAGTGGTAACTTCTGTGGACTGTGTGAGCATTTCTAGACTGCTCTGAACCTGAAGGTATGATACTGCAGAGGCCTTTTTGCTTACTATGGTAGATTAGCACATTGTGAGAATACACAAACACCAGTCTTGTGATCCAGCTGCTGTATAGAAAAGGAGTCTTCTAACCAGCCTTCACTGAGCTCTTGACCATGTGGTCACTAGAAACAGCAAAAGTCCCTACTCTGCATTATTTCATTGAATTATCACACATAGGGCTGAGTTTCCTGGCAGCATCTAGGTACATGCGGTCAACAGACTTGATTCTTACTACTTCCCTGCACCACTGCCTGCCCTGAGCTGCCTATTTCTCTCTCACTGATTCCCTTCTCCCTAAATAGTCCTTAGTTCTGCTTTCCTATCATGTATATTCAATTATCCCCCCCAACTGCCCTGTCCTTCTCTTAAGATTTCTTCCTCTCCTCTCATGACTCCCTACACACACATACACACACACACACCCCACATATATGTCTTTTTGAGTCTGGATTATTTTTGCTTAACAAATGATTTCTGGCTTCACTATTTTTCCACAAATATGACTTCATTTTTCTACGTGGCTAAATAAAATCTCATGTTATATGGCCATACTCATCCATTAACTCGATGCTACATATCTAGGCTAGTTGCAGTTCCCAGCTATTATGACTAGTAAACATGGATGTTCTAAGTTGTTTTGGAAGTATACACAGGGTTGGTGTATCTGGGCCTTATGTTAATTGTTTTTAGTTAATATGAAGAGTCGTTGTACTGATTTCCTCAGAAGCTTTACCAGTTGGCATTCTCATCAGCTGTGTATGAGAGTTCCTTTTTCCTCACAACCTCACCAACTTTGATTGTCATGTCTTTTCTTGACAGCTGGTGAGATGGAATCTCATGGCAGTTTTACTTAGCATCTATCCTGTGTCTAAGGATATCAACACTTCTTCAAATATTTATTGGTCATTTGTGTTTCTGTTAGGACTGTCCAATTCATCTCCCTGTTTATTGGCTGGATGACTTGTGTTTTGCTATTTAATTTTTAGAATTCCTTATGTATTTTAGGAATCAATTGCATGTCTGATATGTGGTTGGCAAAGATTTTTTTTCTCCAAATTCTGTAGGTTGTCTTATTTTTTGTGATTCTTTTACTATGCTGAACCCTTCTCGTTCTATGAAATATGATTTGTCAATTCTGTCGATTTCCTGTGCTTTGGGGTTCTAATCAGGAAATCCTTGCCTATGCTTATGTCTTGAAATATTTTATGTTTTCTCCTAGCAGTTTCAGAGTGTCATGTCTTACATGAAAGTCTTTGATCTATTTTTACTTGAGATAAGGATCTAATTTCTTTCTTTGACTTGCAGATATTTAGTTTTCTCAACACTATTAAAGAGGCTCTCTTCTCCAGTTTTATTTATTTATTTATTTATTGACAACTTGGTTAAAATCTAGGTGGATGTGGTTGTGTGGCTATTTCAATGCTCTCTATTCTAGTCCTTGGTCTACTTATGTTTGTGTATCCATACTAGTTTTGTTACTTTGGCTCTGTAATATAATTTGAGATCAGATATTTCTGGTAGCTACAATGCTGCTCTTTCTGTTTAGGATTGACCTGGTTATTTG